TGAGGTACTAGAGACTCTCGGATAACAATAGCCACCACCCCCCACCCCTTTCCTGGGATCGCGGCTGATGAAGCACCTGAAAACCCTCTGGGCACATCTCAGTGAGGAGGACACCTCCCTCATGGCCCAGCCAGGTTTCAGTAATACATGCCAGGTCTGCCCTCTCGTCTAAAATTAGGTCCCGGACGAGGGGAGCCTTGTGAACTACAGACCTGTAGTTTCCCAAATGGCTGGGCTTTCATGAGCCTTGTCCGTTTGGCTGTGGGGAGGTCTGCCTATCTCACTCTGTCTCACCCATCTTCATTGGAAGTTAGTGTTTGTCACTGTGAAGACAAAACTGGTAATAACCTCAATTTTGAATCCAGCCCTATCAGGTAGAAACAGACACCATGTAGACCTAGAACTACTTGTATCAGAACAACTGTAGTAACAGCACCTTGCAGGTCTGAACGAACTCCCCTTTTTCTCTTTTATCTTTCTCTTTCTTCTCTTTTATGAGAATTGGAGGGGCGGCTGTCTGAGGCATTTTTGTAATCCCCTTTTTGGCCTGGGCTCAAGCCTCGTTTATCTCATATTTGCCTTTCTGGTGGATCTCTCTATTGATCTTTCCTGTTTCCTTTTTGAAGACTATCATGAACAGCTTTTCCAGAAGATTTCACGATACCATTTGGGGGAAGCAGCCTCTGGGGTCCTTCTCATCTATTCCCAGAGCATACTCCACATTCTGGAGGTAGGTCAAGCAAATATTTAAGGGTACCAGAAGGTGAAAAATCCTTTAGTTGAATTGTGTAGAGATTTATAACAAATGCTGACAAAACCTACATCCAATTTAGGCACCAATCTATAATTATACATACGGATACCATAGTATTGCAGGCACAATGTAGTTTGGTCACTTGCAGAATTAACAAAACTCCCCACCAGAAGTTTCTGAAAACATCACTTCAAATATAGAATAACAGAATTGAGTGGAAACACCTTCAGAACTTCATATCCTGATGCTCTTCCATTCCCTTCAGGCCTCCAGCGGCACCCTCTACCACATCCTCATGGATCTGACCCTCTTTGAACGTCAGGGAGCAGAGTAAGTCAAGCAAGTCCTCCAGAGAGGAGAGCTGTGGGGAGGCAGAGGGGACGCATCTCAATCACGAGGCAGAGGGACTTCCGGAAGATGCCCAAGTCTCTCTGCACGGTCGGGTTGGAAAGGGACTGTCTGAAGAATGGATGATGCCCTTGGCTGAAAGACTGCTTCTAACGACCATGTATTATTGTATTTATATATTTTATTTGTGCTTTTATTATTAAAAAAGGTGAAAAGTTTAAAAATGCATTTATAGTAAGTTAAATGCAAGGTACAAACTGATAAACAGAGCATCCCATAGCCTCTTTACCAGTACGCACAGATGGTTGATGGCTTTAAAACAGCTAAAAACAAAGCCAAAAAAACCCCTAAACTAAGATAAGCAGCAGCAGAAAGCAGAAGGCACAGCAGCACCAATGGAAAGAATCCCTTCAATCCCTCCCAACATTTGGGTGTGTGAATAAGATAGGGAAGAACCCTCCCTACTAGCACTGAGGATGTTACCTAGTTTGGTAATGAAATGTCTGCAAGAAAACAACCAGAGAGAGCAGCAAAGACCCCATGATGGAGAAAATGTCACCTTATCTAAGGGATAGGGAGTCGGTGCCCAATCAAAGGTCGCAAAGTTTCTAGCCTTACAGTTTATAGTTCCTGGGAAATTTGAGTGTCTCCTTGAGTGTCTTGGATGGGCATTGGCATTTAGCAATTTCTGGAGGGAATCAGATTCCTCAATCCTATTTTCGGATACAGGTGAAAGCACATCTAGGATGCTCAGCCAAGAGAGGAAGGTCATGAGCTCCAGAAGACCTGTGGTTGGATCAGAAGCAGGCTTGGTCTAATTCATTCATTCAAGGATTTATGAGCAGAGACTTCAGATAAATGTCTAAATTTCTCTCTTGATCTGGATGGCTAACATGACAACTTACTAAAGGTTCAACATCCAGTTGGAATAAAAACATCCTGCATCAAACCTGGAAGAGACAGGGGTTTCAGTCATCACTGGAAGGATCCTGTCCTGAGAAACTGGTTATTAGGTTCTCTGAAAAAGTTCTATTTTTATACTGTCTTTCCTAGAAGCTTCTTGTAGATTGTTTCCACTTAGCTTTTATCCTGTTTTTACCTTATGTTTTCATAATTATTGTAACCACCTCAGGAGTTTTAGAACAGGAAGCATATAAATACTTGGAAGGAAGGGAGGAAACCTCCCATGTCCATGGGCAATGTAGCCAGTGCCTCTGATGTGACCCTCCATGGTAGATAGCTGCAAGTCTTAAATATCTTGCTTTTGATAGAACATGGATGCAAGTGTATGCATAATGTGTCTACAGACCTATGGGTTTAATATGGTTTCTTTCTCCCTTTTAGGGCTTTATTACGAGATATTAAGATATTGGTAATGTCTCATAACATCCCTACCAGACTTTTCTCACAGTGGAATGCCACCAAAGTGGAAGTGCCTGTAACTTTGGAAGATGTCACCCAGAGCCAGACCATAGAAGAAGTTATTACTGAGTGTCTTACACTTATTCTCAAGCTGGGAGTGTATCTTGCAACACTCAAGGTGAGAGCAGATCCCTTCAGCAGTTTTCTCTTTGGCATCAGCTTCATTTCCCCAGGACCAGCACCTCATCCAAAATAGACTTGGCTGCACATAAGGATAATACACTTCAACAATGGATCTCCTTCATTTGGGACAAAGTTGGTAGAAATGTACATTTCTGTAGCCAGAAGATCTCTCCAGCTTTTTGCCCAAGACTCTGAGATGTCTTCAGTTAGCATAAGTACACCAAATCCTTAGAGATCAAGAAATCTGGCATTACACTCTTATGTCTAGTTAGGGGCTTGCACTGTTTAGTTTTGACATACTCTACTGTAAATTAACAGTGCCAACATGTAAGGAAGAACTTGGGGACATACATGAGATAATGCCAAGGGGATGATGGGAACTCTTACTTGCTATAGTTCTTTGCATTGTGATTTATGTGAACATAACTTTAATAAAAAAACAATTATTGGTTTTTTTTGAAATAGCAGTATCCTGGCCATGGAGATACAGAATCTGTTTCTCTTGTGTTTGTTTACTGGCAGGATTATTTAAAAAAATAGGTACCCAAAAATATATTGATGATTCAGTTTGTCAATTCTGCACAATCCAAATTGAAAACTTCCTTTCAGCTCCCAGCCCCTATTCTTCAATCTGTAAGTTTATTTTAACGAAGACCTCACTGGAAAAACAATAGCAATAGCAGTTAGACTTATATACCGCTTCATAGGGCTTTCAGCCCTCTCTAAGCAGTTTACAGAGTCAGCATATTGCCCCCAACAACAA